AATTGGTTAGCGTCTTGTTGACTTTGATGGCCTCAGCAATAGATGTAGCACCGGTATCACTAATACCACTGTTAAACAAATTCAAATTAGTTAACTCCTTGTTGACCTTGATTGCCTCAGCAATAGATGTAGCACCGGCATCACTAAGAAGATTGACAGACAAATTTAAATTGATGAAATTAAGAGATCCTCGCAGCTAAGAACACTACTGAAACGAGTAGTTGTAAATAGGACCTGAAAAAAATTTAGGCCCGTACGAGATTTGAAGCCATGACCTCTGCGATACCGGTGCACCGGTATCGCAGAGGTGACCGGCGACCGTTGTGAGGATAGTTTCGTGTAGATCAGCCGACTTCAACATGTTTTAAATGACATACAAGTATAACAGCGTATCTTCAGAGGACTTCAGATCGCTCAAATTCCCATAAAAGAAGGTGCAGCATTCGGAATCTGGATGATATGCACACGATATGAGGTATATGTTTGTTGCTACGTCGAGTAGTCCTCCATGAAGGTTGATCAATTTTTTTTTAAAGATGACTACTAGAGGTGAGATTTCTCTCCGGGATATTGCTCATAAGATAACATTCTTTTAAAGCCTTGAATGTTTCATTTTTCTGAAACATTTATTGTTGAGAACATTAGAAACATCGCCAAATTATGCAATATCTGATTTTGAGCTTCGTTTGCGAATTTCCCCCATAAAAAGTAGAGGCAGGTCCGCAGAGATTTTTACATATTTAATAACTAGAATATTATAACCAGCTAGGTGGGTAGTTTCAGTTGCAGAATCGGTGCACCTTTGGAGAAATTCAGATAAACGTTTTCCCTGTTTTACCCGACAACAAAAATGACCGAAACTGTACCGAGATGAATAATCTATTGGTGTGTTCACATTCACTCCCAGGGAAATTTGAATGAATCAATGTAGAGACGAATAATGTTACTATGTATGATAGAAGTGCTAATTTGTAATGTTTTATTTAGCTCGAGATAGAGAAATAAAAATTTCAATTTTTTTTGCGACGTTTTTGTGTGAAAACGAGGCCCTAGGCCTCGAACAAGCAGCTGTTGTTACCATGGCAACAAGAGTGCTGCGACCTTTATAAAGGGTATTTTTGTGCATCCACCCTGAGCGCCTAACTGCATGCAAAATTTGAAGGGGGGTTGGAAATTTTCATACCGCAGGATGTTTGATTCTTACAGGGACTTGTTCTTAATTCGGCTGTTTCGTCCTGGTTGGCAGCTAAACCTCGTCGCAAGCGCCCTCCAAAGGTTTTCAACACAGCACCACCACCAGGTCCAGTGATAATTGTACATGATGTTGGTGTACAGGCAACTGATGATGACGCCCAATTATTCTATTCTGTTGAGGAAGAGGTAGAGGAAATCTCCAAAGCCTTGGAGCTGCCAGATTTGGATGCCGAAGATTCTGATTGCGGCTCTGACTTTGAGTTTTCATAAACTACAAAAAGTGTCAATTTCACACTTTATCACTTTATAAGTTGAAGTTAAAGGCCCATTTCCAACCTTGAGCCAACGCAGTCGTTTGTTTTCGTTTGAACCACCGCTTTTGTTTAAATAGCGCCTCTGATTGGTCAGTTATTTTTACCTGGTCACGTTTCAAATACCTTCTGCCTTTTCTCCGATGAATTTGAAGAGCTTATCAAAATAATTCTGTTTAAAACAGTTCTATACATTTTAATCCGGTATGGAATTGGATGAATCTATTGATTTAGTAGATTCCGAGGCAGTAAACGCTTATGGATCGGTTGTTGCTAAAGAGAAACGCGAAAATCCTTGCGAGCATTTCGAAGAAGGTGAAAATGTTGATCCACCACGTTTTCATTCATTCATCAATTTTTTTAATTGAAGTTTGCCATCCTTGTTAAATAGGACCAAGGGTCAGTTGAAGTTTCCTGCCCGTGGAGAGGAACTTGCGCTCGAAAGAGTGGTCGGGGTTGTTGTCCATGCAAAGCAGCAAATAAGAATTGTAACGCAAACTGTCAGTGTCGCTGACGTTCGAGTTCCTGCAATGAAGTGACTACACTTAAAATAATTCAACGTCCAGCAGTGCGATATTTTTCCATATTTCTCTTCGAAATCCAAAAAATATTTATATGAAAATGTTCTACCTTTATGTACAATCCTCAAGCGCCTCCAGGCAGCCTAAAATTTCGAACTTGATGTTTCTCGCTAACCCTGTATACAGAGTACGAAGCCATCCAAGCGCTTAAAATTTCAATGACACGGCTGGACACGGTCCTCAAACAACTCCATATTTCTCTTTGAAATATACTAATTTTTCATTGGAAAATATTCTACCTTCATTAACAATCCTCAAGCGCTTCTAAAAAGTGAAAAAATGCCAACTCTCTCCGTTTCGCTGACCTTGTACACAGAGTGCGAAGAAATCCAAGCGTGACACTAAGAAAATTTTCACCAGACACTACCGGACACGGTCTTCAAATAACTAAACGTCCGGCAGTCTGTTATTTTTCCATATTTCTCTTTGAAAAATACCAGTTTCTATCGGAAGTATTTTGTCTTCAATTAGAATCCTCAAGCGCTTCTAGAAAGTGAAAAAATTTGAATATTGTCCTTTTCGCCGCCTCCTCACAGAGTACGAAGAGCTCCAGGCGTGACACTTAAAAAATTTTTTCTTAGGATTCTTCAAGACAAAATTCAAAATACTGTAAGGAAACAGTGAAATAACGAACGGCGAATATATTTACCGTAAAACTGTTGACTATATGTTCAGGATGGCTCTTGTGAAAGACGATTTTAGAAGGGTTTCAGTGATCTGGGAATTTCGTGTTACAGGAAATTGGGTCGCGGCGCGAGTTGCATCAAGGTTGGAAATGGGCCTTTAACTTGTAACTGTAGGATAAAAAGAGGCTCCGAAAACAACAGTGAAATAAACAAATTCTCCCAGAGTACCATTCTTTTTTATTATAATAGATTAAGTATGCATCATTACAAGAAGATTTCTTCTCGAGATTGCAGGAAAATGCGTTTCTGGGTGACTTTTCTTTTAAAAATTTCCCGGGGGAGCATGCCCCCGGACCCCCCTAGAGGTTCGGGCCTTCGGCCCTCAATTTTCAAAGGCACCTGCCTACTTTAAAAGGCAGCGCCCTTTTACTTCAAAGTTGTTTAAGTCGTTAAAACCGAAAAAAATTGGTTAGCGACATGTAGCACCCGCAGCACTAATACCATTATTAGACAAATTCAAATTGGTTAGCGTCTTGTTCACTTTCATTGCCTCAGCAATACATGTAGCACCCGCATCACTAATACGATTACTTGACAAATCCAAATTGGTTAGCACCTTGTTCACTTTCATTGCCTCAGCAATACATGTAGCACCCGCATCACTAATACCATTATAAGACAAATCCAAATTGGTTAGCACCTTGTTCACTTTCATTGCCTCAGCAATACATGTAGCACCCGCATCACTAATACGATTACTTGACAAATTCAAATTGGTTAGCGTCTTGTTCACTTTCATTGCCTCAGCAATACATGTAGCACCCGCATCACTAATACCATTATAAGACAAATACAAATTGGTTAGCGTCTTGTTCACTTTCATTGCCTCAGCAATACATGTAGCACCCGCATCACTAATACCATTATAAGACAAATACAAATTGGTTAGCGTCTTGTTCACTTTCATTGCCTCAGCAATACATGTAGCACCCGCATCACTAATACCATTATTAGACAAATTCAAATTGGTTAGCGTCTTGTTCACTTTCATTGCCTCAGCAATACATGTAGCACCCGCATCACTAATACCATTAAAAGACAAATACAAATTGGTTAGCGTCTTGTTCACTTTCATTGCCTCAGCAATACATGTAGCACCCGCATCACTAATACCATTATTAGACAAATCCAAATTGGTTAGCGTCTTGTTCACTTTCATTGCCTCAGCAATACATGTAGCACCCGCATCACTAATACGATTACTTGTCAAATCCAAATTGGTTAGCACCTTGTTCACTTTCATTGCCTCAGCAATACATGTAGCACCCGCATCACTAATACCATTGTTTCGCAAATACAAATTGGTTAGCGTCTTGTTCACTTTCATTGCCTCAGCAATACATGTAGCACCCGCATCACTAATACCATTATTAGACAAATTCAAATTGGTTAGCGTCTTGTTCACTTTCATTGCCTCAGCAATACATGTAGCACCCGCATCACTAATACCATTATAAGACAAATACAAATTGGTTAGCGTCTTGTTCACTTTCATTGCCTCAGCAATACATGTAGCACCCGCATCACTAATACCATTGTTTCGCAAATACAAATTGGTTAGCGTCTTGTTCACTTTCATTGCCTCAGCAATACATGTAGCACCCGCATCACTAATACCATTATTAGACAAATCCAAATTGGTTAGCGTCTTGTTCACTTTCATTGCCTCAGCAATACATGTAGCACCCGCATCACTAATACGATTACTTGTCAAATCCAAATTGGTTAGCACCTTGTTCACTTTCATTGCCTCAGCAATACATGTAGCACCCGCATCACTAATACCATTATTAGACAAATACAAATTGGTTAGATTCAAATCAGTTCCAAACGACTTCGATAAATGCGAGTGAAAATCACTTTTTTCTCTTTTGCATTCGTTGATGGCCTCCAATACAATTTTTGTACCACGGCCTTTATTTTTGTTGACTTCATTTGTTAATCTCTTTACAAGAGCCACAACCTGTTCATCGCATTTCATGGCCAAAATTCCACACGAAAACAAAAGTATTTGTTTAAGTTGAACGAAATACCTTGGATCGGAAACTAGTTCTTCAGGTTTCATTTCCTTGCTTTGAATCTGAGAACAAATGAAGAATGCTGCAAAGAATTCTTGAAAACTTTTATGTAAGAAGGCATAATGCAGTGTTGGTTTCAGTTTGCTGCCACCAGGCTGCACTGACAGAAATCCAAATTCAGTCAGGTCTTTTGCATGGTTTCTCAATTCACTTACATTAAAATCCAGCTTAACGTCAAGTAAACCATTCAACGCTACCTTTCCAAGGTGATTCAATTGCGGTTTGTAATAGTTTGTCAAGTCTTCGATCGTTTCTAGTAGTCCCTTTTTTTTTCTATATCTTCTCAAAACACATTCAACAATATCCAAGTACAGTTGAGCTCTGCTTTCGGGGAGTGTGCCCTCAAACTCTTCGCATAAAAGGCAAAGAAGTGCTGTGTTTAGAGGATTGGCCGCTATTTCTCTCAGGTTTTTATCTCGCGACATCCGTTCCGAGAGCTTGGTGGCTAAATCCGGCCTTTCTTTGAAGTACTTGGTGACAAATCCTTTCGCATGCTTTTCAGTGAATCCTTCAATCTGAAGCAGCGCGTCACAATATTTTCTCACCTCTTTTCCAACTTCGTGTCTTGCTGTTGCAACTATGTGGCATCTGGGGAGTACTCTTCCTTCAATCAATTCGGAAAACATCGACAATTTACTGGACGGTAACTCATCCAATCCATCCAATATCAATAAAATGCTGGACTGATTTTCACGAATAAACTGAAAGAATTGTTGTTTGACTTCTTCATTGATGTCTCGGGGCAGAAGCTGATCATCAATAGCTTCCCAAACGTCAGAATGGATATCTCGACATTTCAGCAACAATACCACTTTAAATGCCGTTGAGCCGCATACCTGAGGTGCTTGCTGTTTTGTGGCCCAGTCGTAGGCGTACTTTTTACAATAGGTGGTTTTTCCCATACCAGGTTCTCCTTCAATCAACACCGTTCTCGGCGCTGAACACTCTTCATACGGTTCTAGTATTGACGACATGTCAACAAATACGTCAGTGATTTCTCCTCTCGTTTTCTTTCTTCTGACCACTTTGAGCCTTGTAAAAATACTTCCAAGAAAAAACTGAAACTCTTCACACCATGGAAATGGTGAGAGCCATCCCTCACGAGTCTTGTACAGCTGGCGAATTCCATTGATAAGTTCAGTTGGATCAAAAATACCTAGTAGTAGCAAAATAGGTAAGAAATCTAATGAATGCAGTGTTGAAAATTATGATACCTCTCTGGTATTCGGCACTGAATTTAAATATGCGAATGAGTACGATACCGTTGCCAAAGAAATTACTAGGACTACGCAAAAAGGTTTTAGTGTATGATTCATGCTTACTGATTAAAAGCCATTTAGATTATAAATTCAGTTGAACCTCCTCTGTTTGTTCGGCTTTACCGGTGTGTGAATTTCTGTTGTAAAATAAATTACACGGGAGATAGATATTCATATTATTGGAGCCATAGTCTGAGCAAGGCTTTTTCGGGATATAGCGAGACTACGAACTAATAAATGAAAACGAAACAACGCCTTTCTGCCTTCTTTGTCGCGCGGTTTCATCACAAATGTTGCAGAAAACTGGAGGCTCGCCTGCGATGAAGTGGAAGATTTTGCCAACAGTCTTTTCCTCAGGAAATATAAAATAACCACATACATCTTATTCTAACCTATTTTACTCGAGAAGATCCTCATTCAACTATTTTCCCATGTAGAATTGAATACTCCACAATATGTGCGAAGGAAGGGTTTAGTTGTTTTATTCAGAAATATGCGGATCACATTTAATGCTGCTAGGTATTCGGCACTGAATTTAAATAAGTGAACGAGTTCGACACCATTGCCAAAGAAATTACTTGGACAATGAAGAAAAGGTATCAATGTATGATTCATGTTAATTTAATGACCAAAGGCCATTTAGCTTATAAATGCCATCGAACCTACTCTGTTAATTTCTAACATGGAGCAGACCTTAATGCCAATATTTTCGTTAAAACTGTACTTTATTTTTATATCGTTCTCCCTTCTAATAAAAATGTAATGTTTCTGGGCTAATTACGGGTGAAAGTTTAAATAATTGAAGGGAATGAAAGCACGCCACAGAGACTATTCCAGAGATTGTTTAAATTGAAAAACTGAATCTCTCTAAGATAGGATGATCTCTCTTTTACATACAGAACATTGTTAACTACGGCTAAATTTGCGGTTAAGCAGGATAACTTTTATTGTATAATTCAACTGACCTTCATTCTTACTTTCTCCCACAGGGGTTGCCAAAGTACACAGCTTTTCCTTCACTTCTTTAAGTTCACTGTTTATCTTTGCCATTTCGCTTCTCATTTTCTCAAGAGGCCCTTTCGTGGAATAACATTGGAAATTTTTAGTCCGAGTGAGAGTCACTTTATTTATTAAAAGTTAACTAAATAGATCCTTTTCCCTTCCTCTGTGTTTTCATTTTATTCTATACAACATTCTAAAAAACCTTTTGGCCCAGCTTCAGCGGTTTCTAATAGTGAAACCCAAGATATAAATATTGATATCATTGGAGCCGATAGTCTGAGAAAGATTTTTGTCAGTAAAAGCGACATTGTAAGAACTAATTAATAAAAACCAAAGAACGCCTTTCTGCCCTCTCATTTCTCCTTATTTCCTCAACAAAAGTAAAACTAGTATAAGACAATAACCTTCACGGCTAAATATGTATGAGTGCTGTCAGAAAACCATCCAACACCGAGAGGTAGCCTCACATCCATACCATCCCATTCATCCCACACATTACGAAGTATCTTCATTTGTAGCCAGAGCAGGTTAAAAGCCAAGATGTGCTCTTACAACAATACATTACCTAAAAGGATGTTAAATTGTCTGACATCACGCGAATAATGTGGTCATGCTCAAAAGATGTGTTAACAGAATCCCTGTTGATAGTTCAGTTTATGTGTGAGTAGCTCTTTCTAGTAACCAACCTTCATCTGTGCTTTTTTCCACTGTGGTCGTCAGGCTATTAAGCGTATCTAAAATCTCCTTCATTTTAATCTCTATCTTCTCAGTTGTGTCTATGAGGTCGTGTCTCATCTTTTCTCGAGAATCTGGAAATTTAAGAAAGATAGGCGCAATTTCATAAGCACATTTACACCACAGATTCACGTTTAGGCGCAGACAAAACAATGGAACGTATATCAATAACTAGTCGATTCCGAATAGATCAAACTCAATAAGACGCTTAGAAATTACAAAAATGCACTCCAGCAGTTATAAAAGAGTACCCACGAACAGAAAAAATATTGCCCATGAAAACAATGTGTACATTTGGGTTAATTCTTCATTTTTCACACATAACGCTAGAATAACGTTCCAAGTATGTGACTGGTTCCGTCCAAAATGAAAACATCATGAGTTACCCAACACCGCGGTGATTCAAAGCTGGAGAAATCTAGAAACCCGCCTGCGATCAAGTGGGAGGTTTTGCCGACAGTCTTTTCCTCAGGAAATGTAAAATAACCACACATCTTATTCTAACCTATTTTACTCAAGACGATCCTAATTTAACTATTTTCCCATGTAGAATTGAATACTCCAATACGTTAGGAGGAAGGATTTGGTTATTTCGTTGCGAAATATGCGGGTCACATCTAACGCTACTAGGAAGTTAGGTTCATTATAAGAAAGGTGTTACTAAAACAAGACGATAAACTATCCCGACTACGATGATACATATGTATGAGTGCTGTCAAAACACCATTAAATCCGAGAGGTAGCCAGGGTAGAAAATCTCAGATTCCGAGCATCCCACACATTACATAGAATCTTCGTGTAAAGCCAGTGCCAGTATTGATCAGGGTGTGCTCTTGGACTAGTAAAGTATGCTGTGTTGGCCGACATCCAGCATTTACCGTCGTCATGCACATGAGCTGCGCTATGTACCCAAGAAACAGTGTCGCTCTTAATAATTTTTTTGCTGTGAGTAGCTCTCTCTACCAACTAACCTTGTGCCCTTTTTTCAGCTGAGGCCGTCAGACTACTCAGCTTCTCTTTCACCTCTTTCACTTCGATCTCTATCTTGTCAATCGCGTCTCTCGTGTTATCCAGCGAATCTGAAAATTTCAAAAGGTATGCGCATTTTCATAAGCAAATTTATATCACAGCTTCACGTTAGGTGCAGATAAAACAATGATATGTATATCAATATCTAGTCGATTCCGAATAGATCAAACGCAATAAGACGCTTAGAAATCAACAAATGCACTCTAGCCGTTGTACACGAGTACCCACGAACAGACAAAAATACTGCAAATGAAAACATAGTGTCAACATTTGGGTTAATTCTTCATTTTACACACAATGCAAATATACCTTCCAAATATACGACTAGTGCCGACCATGATGAAAACATCATGAGCTGACCTACACTACCGTGTTAATTGGAAATATATACTTTTGTAGCCTTCTGATTCATCCACATTGGCAGTGGATAATGTTTTACTTACTTTCAATTTCTTCAAGCTTGTCTTTGATGCTGTCGTCGTCTTTCTTCCATTGTTTCATCAGTTGACGATAGTGCTCCTCGATATCTGGATCCATGCAGTCGTGCTCAAGGTTGTCGATTTCAGCTCTAAAATGAGTTCCTCCGAGTCTCACCAAAGCTTCGCTTACTTCCTGCCAGTAAGCACTGAAACTACTGTCATCCACAGAGGCTTGAGAAGCATGGCCGTATACAGTGTTCCTGTAATACTTTACTCTGGCGATGTCATCTGCGATGCTTATGTTTGTAGCTAGGGGAAGACGATCCCATCCATTGGCAGGAGGGCCCAAACCACAGATATTTCTAAGAAGTACCGTTAGAAGTGTGATATCGAAGGCTGCAGAAGACACGGGTGCGTGAGTAGGGTACAACTTTCCCCATTGCGTGGGATTCAGCACTTTCTTCCTCCCTTTGTACAGTGATTGCAATGTGGCGTAATGCACTGAGGTACTTCCCAAAACTGTATATAGAGTCGCTGGTGGATGTATTGTGTCAAAAGTGGACCTAAGCACCTGAGATCCAACATCCACCAGGAGGCGGCATAGCCTTGCATAGTTGGTAGTCTCTTTCGTTGACGCAAATGGCGAAATAGCCGTAGCCATAATACTAACTTTTCCAGGATGACCTGTCAAAAAGAGAATTGACATTAAGTAATGTTAATCAAACCCATTCGAAAAAAAAAATCCCGATAGCCAATTGAGACCGAGAATGGTTTCAAATCGTGATGTCATTTTCTAAATCCTTTTAAGCAAGGAACACCAACGAAAGAACCTAATAAGAAATTTAATCTGAGATTTTTCATTTCAACCCAGTTTCTAGATTAAGAAAGAGTTTTGTTTTTCAGTTTACAAAGTAACAACTAGAGACATAAACAGCAGAAATGAAACGCGATTTGAAAAGTTAAGGGGAAATAAGTTTTTTTTTTCCTCTCTAGGGCCTTAAACCCGGTCAGTTCTGGCTGGTTGACGTTTGATTCTTAATCATCATCATCATCATTATCATTTTATTTGATAATGCAGGTACCAAATTGGCAGCCAAGAAGGCTGATGTGGACCTACACATCACTAAAATAATTAAATGATATATACTATACTGCTAAAATAAAAAACTAATCTAAAAAGAGAAACTTAATCTTAAAATTTAGGATTTATTATATCTAACAAAATTCCCCATTTCGCCTAAGAAGTATCTAATAATAAAAGTAATCACAGTTGTACCAGCATTAATACAAAAGCCGCACCCGTTTTTACTACTTCATGCAGCATCACAAAGATCTGACCATTGCCGGTGTAACCAATATATATAAACCTTAAAACCTCCATAGCTCCAAAACGATGCACAAGCAGACACAAATATATAAACTACAGTTAAAAATCAAAGCAAGACTGCACAACCTCCATTTACCACCCTGCAAAGATCACTGCTACAACTTGGTCACTTGAAACATAATTGCAAAAGCATCATCTATCACCATCCCAACAAGGACAAAAACTACACAATCACAAGCAAACTACATAATCATAAGCAAACAACACTGTGTTAAGAAAATTTTCGTCAATATGGGAATCATGCAGTTTAACTGCACTGAACTGTATGAATTGACAACTTTCTCGATAATATTATCAGTGCAATGGCCTCTGAAAGTTGTAGTATTGCTTGTTTTAAGCTACATTTCCGAAACATTGCATGCTATATTTTAATTTATCTTCAGATATTATAAAAGAAGGTACTGACTCTAAATATGACATGTCTTTCAGTGAACTTAATTCACACTTGGACTCAAACTTTTTGAAAATTTATACTCCTCATGTCAGCTTGGTGTTGCTACTGCTAATGTACAGTTGTTGTTACGGTTATGGTTATTAGTGTCTAGTCAAAAACACTGAAAACTTGAATGTCATAAATTTGAACAAAATTGGTATGCATGTAGCATTTATTTCTCCCAAAAGAATTACCATAATTAAAGTTATGCAGTCGTAATGTCCATAATATAATGTCTTTAATGTGATGTCTGTAATATAATGTCTGTAACATAATGTCCATAACATAAAGTGGGCTTTATTTTTTCTAGTGCTTTTCGAGGATTTTGGTAATTTACAACACTCAAGTTTAGGCCCCTAGAATTTGTAAAAAAGGAGCCAAGCAGACCAAAAAAAACTGGTTTTCAATTTCAGAGAAAACAAAAAAAGAGCAATTTCCATACACTTCTCATTAGACAAAAATAAACAGCCTCTCTTGGCCATTTCCTGCAAAGTCAACTTTCAAATTACTGTTTTTTAAACAATTTAGGGTCTCCTTATTCCAAAAATTCATAAGTGGGCTAGATATGAAATATTTTAAATTTCACTATTTACACATAGGTCAATATGAATAGGTCATGATGGTTTTGGTTATTTTTACCATCTCGTAAAAATTGCTCTTACCATCCGATGAAATATACTTTTACACAAATGTTTTGGCCGTCAATGGCTCTATATGTAATGGTAATTTATGAATATCTTGAACATGTTGGATTGTTTACATGATCTTCGTTATTCATCCAGCTTGGGTTAGATTTTGTGCTTTGACGTCCATGCTACAAAAATTATTAAAAGTTAAACCTCTCTACACAAAAAAAATAATTTATGCAAAATCACCATGGTATCCACTAATTGCCGAAGGGTACCTTAAAGGACTTAAGTTAGGTTTAACTTGGCAAAACCTTAATGATAGACACTTTGCATGAATGTACTAATTTCCCATGCAAGACATGCAAGCATGGGGTGATAATTGCTAATCCATATGTACTTTGCCAAGGATGGAACCAGATCTCTGCACAAGATCTTCCATATTCCTGTTTTAGGAGGGGAGCTTAAACTTTGATTTTATATGAATTAATAAGTTTTAATCAATGACCCAAAATTGAGTCTCTCAAATGTTAATATTCATAAGTCAACATACAGTTGAAACACTTCACAAACCTAGCTGCATGTAATCAGTAATTAAACCAGCAGTATATCAGAAGGACCACCAGAATTTCAGCAACATTTTCTAAGAGTATTTCTACATGTTTGTAGCCAAACCTAATCATGCACAACCATTGATCACAACATAATTAAATAGGTCATTAATATAATGTATAGTTCTTGACATAACATTACCAGGCAAAATAATTAATACTCACATGGATATAAGTGAAATGAGAGCATGCAGAATTCTAAACATATGCAAACAGGACACAATTATTCCCAGCAAATAAATTATTAACCCTTTAACTCCCATATCAAATTTGTAATTCTCCTTACTCCCAATCCTACAATTCTTATAATGTTAGTTCAGAGAATTCAGTATTGGATCAACTTATTATCCCCAAATTTATATTTTTCTTTACTCTCATCACTTATCTGGTTGATATTGTGTTGATATTGTAAGGAGAAATTCTGTCTTGGTCACTCATGGCAATTAAAGGGTTAATACAGATTGACAAAATGAAGGCAAGTTTCAAAAGTGAGAGAAAAAAAGAGCAGCATGTCCTCCTACCTTGTATAGAGTTTCCTGGGTTCGAGAAAATAACCCTTGAATCAGGGATAAAGTCAGAAAGTCTGAAAAGAAAAGCAGCAGAACAACAGTTACTATATATCAGTTATGAAAGACAATGACAGTCACAAAGAAGGGCACTAACAGGTGCCCCAAGGTTATCAGTGGTATTAACCACAACATTAAATAATATCAAATTAATTTCATATTATCAGCTGAGTTGATAATGTAAATTCACCACTGTGATGAGTTTAAAAGCTGACAATTCCTTTGTCAGCCCAATTGCTCTGATGAAAAGGCTAACACTCAAAATGTCATCTTTTTAAACCTTATCAACTCAATTGATAATACTAAATTATCCTGGCATACTCTCCCACTGAGGCAGCACCACAGTTTCTTGAGAAACTTACCCTCTTTATTTATAATATTAGCAGTGAACTGTAATCTGGAGAGCTTTGATAATTCATAGATTACATACTAGGCTTCTCCCCTCAGGGAACTTCACTCTAGCTCATTAACTGTTCAAGGAGAGCTAAGAAACAATAGCTTAGAATTCTAAACATATGCAAACAGGACACAATTATTCCCAGCAAATAAATTATTAACCCTTTAACTCTCACATAAAATTTGTAATTCTCCTTACTCCCAACCATACAATTCTTATAATGTTAGTTCAGAGAATTTAGTATTGGATCAACTAATTATCCCCAAATTTATATTTTTCTTTACTCTTATCACTTATCTGGTTGATATTCTGTTGACATTGTAAGGAGAAATTCTGTCCTGGTCACTCATGGCAATTAAAGGGTTAATACAGATTGACAAAATGAAGGCAAGTTTCAAAAGTGAGAGAAAAAAAGAGCAGCAAGTCCTCCTACCTTGTACAGAGTTTCCTGGGTTCAAGAAAATAACCCTTCAATCAGGGATAAAGTCAGAAAGTCTGAAAAGGGAAGCAGCAGAACAACAGTTACTATATATCAGTTATGAAAGACAAAGACAGTCATAAATAAAGGCACGAACAGGTGCCTAAAGTTATAAGTGGTATTAACCGCATCATTTTATAATTATATCCAAGTAATTTCATATTATCAGCTGTCAGTTAATTGATAATGTAAATTTGCAACTGTGACGAGTTTAAAAGCTGACAATTTGTTGCTCTGACAATGGGCTAACACTCAAAATGTCATATGTCATCTTTTTAAACCTTATCAACTCAGTTGATAATACTAAATTATCCTGGTTTACTCTCCCACGAAGGCAGCACCAGTTTCTTTACAAACTTACCCCCTTTATTCATTTATAATTATCACAATTCAACTGGAATTAAAAAAAAAACAACAACAACAACAACAAAAACCACCATGATTCACAAAGGCTGACCAAATGTGACTCTCCATGTGATTTCAGGGACAAAGGTGATAACACACACTCAACACACCAACACATCATGCAAAATGCCCATTGTTCTCATGACATTTACTAACAGTAGTGAAAAATATATAGATCTGTAATATTAGCAGCGAACTGTACTCTGGAGAGCTTTGATTGGTCATAGATTACGCAGGCTTTCCTCCTCAGGGAATATCACTCTAGCTCATTAACTGTTCAGGCAGAGCTAAGAAACAACAGCTTAATACAAATTTATTGTTTATGCTTTTGTTAGAAAAAATCACCCATTCATGCTTGTGTTACAAGCTGGACCAGCATTCAATTTTGAAACCTTTCATTACATACATGTATTCATCTTTTTCTAAACCTTACTCAATAAACATTTCAGTTCTATCATTAATCATATATAAGATTCTATTTTCATCAGTAAAATCCACCTGCACAATTTTTCTGTGATTGTAAGGACATAATGAAGTCTTAAAAGTCGCTTTGACACCTGTTTCTCTGAAATGAAATGTGCCATCATGATTCCGAGAATCATGAGGGCAATTCCATGTTACAGACATTACATTCAGAGACCAGTTTTTTTGGAGACTAATTTCCTTAACAAACTCATTTTGCACAGTTTTCAATGTATAATTTGTACAAACATTCCTCACAGGGTACATGACCAAATTTATCTTAATCAAGCCCAATTACAAGTTAACCCTTTAACTCCCAGAGGTGATTAATGTAAAACTTC